CCTCAGAAGCGCGGGAACCCGCCCGGTGCCCCTGCTCTGCTGGAGACGGTTTCCAGCAGACCAGGGGCACCAGAGCAGCTTACGAATGGGGCTTTCTCGCCCCGGAGCTCGCAGGTAGCAATCCGCTACCTCGACCTCTGGGGCGAGAAAGCTCCGTTCGTAAGTGCGGATCCGACATAAGTCAGATCCGCGTAAGTCGGGGACTGCCTGTATGCTATGCAGACATCTGCATTTAAGTAGGAGCCAGAAACAGTATGAACATTCACATCAGGGGATAAAAATTGTTCTCCTTGGCTTTTGATGACAGGACAAGAAACAATGGGCTTAAATTGCAGCAATTTAGGTTGGACATTAGGAAAAACTTCCTAACTGTCAGGCTGATTAAACCCTGGAATAAATTGCCTAAGGAGGTTGTGGAATCTCTATCACTGGAAATATTTAACAGCAGGTTGGATCAATATCTATCAGGGATGATCTAGAGATCGATGTTTCTGAAAGTGCTCCGCGGAATCACTCTCAGAAACACATTAACTGACCGCTCTGGTTTGTTTATTTACCAGCGCCGTGGTCACGGAGTCTCGCAGCTCTCATTGGCTCAGTTTCATCCTTTGCAGCCAATGGGAGTCACAGGAAATGGCGTGGCCGGGCCACCGCTTCCCACTGCAAAGGATGAAACTGAGCCAATGGGAGCCATGAGGCTCTGTGAGCTGCAGCACCGGTAAACAAACAAACTGGGGCAGCCAGTTAATGCGTTTCTGAGAGTGATTCCGCGGAACACTTTCAGAAACACTGAACTAGAAAGTGTTTAGTCCTGCTGTCAGGGCAGGGGACTGGACTTGATGACCTCTTGAGGTCCCTTCCAGTTCTAATATTCTGTGATTCTATTATTAGTACTAAGCTGTAATAAACATTCTGCTTTTACCTGATCTCTCTCTTTTCTTTCATGGTCTTTGGTGTCTTCTGGATTGCTTTCATTCTCTCTTTGCTGGACATGTTTGCAAGGTTTTTGATCAACTTTGCTTCTGTAGATGGGATGTACAAAAAAATTATATCTATCCAGAACTTTAAATAACATTCCAAACTTCATACAAAGAATGAGAGAAGGAAGACTGGAAATAAGACATCCAATATACATAGCTACCAAGATTTAGCTAACTAACAAGAAATTGAGAGGTAATGATAGCTAGCAGTGATATTGCATTAAATATTCTTAGTTTTTTGGAATGAATGTTTGTGTAACACAGCAACACTGGGAGAATAGAGTTTTTAATGCTTCTGAAAAATCATTCATACCCAGTGATGGTTAACTGTTAGTACAATGGTCTATAATACAAAATAAGCACACACACTGACTTCAAGACTTCCAAAAAGGTTCTGACTTGCTGTTTTTTCTAGTGAGGTTTTGGTTGCTACCTTTTTATAAAATACAAACATAGTGTACAGAAAATTAATTTTTAAAAGATTTTTAGTTAATAAAAGTGTGTATATTTAGTGCCAATGGAAATAAATTGTTCTTTTGCGGAAAAAAATATATACAATCCTCATATCTGTTATTTTGAGGTTATGTTTTAATCAACTTGAGACACACACTCAAATGTAAAATAGCATCAGCTAGGGCCATAAAAGCAATGTCTACACTAAGAAAACCGCAGCTGTCTCCCTTTTAAAAATGCAGAGTGAGAATTGTCCTGAGACCCTGCGGGGGACCAGAGAATGAGCCAGTGTCTTTGCACACTGGCTCCTCTCTGTCCCTTTAAGAGTGCAGAGCGGCAGCCGGGAGTTGTGCTCAGAAGTGAGCACTCTCTTAACAACTAGTCGAGTAGCTGATGCAAATTCCATCGACTACTCGACTAGTAAATTAATCGATACTTAACATCCTTATTTCACCCCATAACCCTTCATTTACAGCTGGGTAGAGGAATAGTTTTCATGACCCACCTACACATACATCTTTGAGAATTCAAAATTTCTATTCTGATTAAATCAGGAGGAAATGTCAAAAATCTCAAAAATATTCACAAAATCAAAAAAAGAGGTCAATGAAAACTTTGTTTCAGTTTCAATCCTCCCCTTTGAAATTAGACTAACAGATTTCAAAATTATTTCACCATTATTTCAAGATATTTTGACATTTCCCCACTGCCTTACAACAGCTATTCAAGTTGGGAGATTCCTCCAATCAAAACCTTCTTCAGGAATAATCTCAGTTTAGGCATTTTTTTTTATAAAGAAACAATTCATCAAAAGTTTCCAACTACAGTAAAACTCTGATGGTCTGGCACCATCAGGAACCTGGAAGTGCTCCGGGCAGCCGGACCATTGGAGCTGCTCTGCCCCCAGCTTTCCCGATTCAGCCGCTGCTAAAACTGACCAGCGGCTGAATTGGAGAAGCCGGGGGCAGAGCAGCTGGAGTGCCACCAGGTAGGTCCCATAGTGCTGCCCCTCGGGGCTGCGGGACCAATCCGGCAGCACCCCAGTTGTCCCGGATTCAGCCACTGCTGAAACTGACCAGCGGCTGACTCCAGGAAGCCCGAGGCAGAGCTGCTCTGCCCCGGGCTTCCTCGAGTCAGCCGCTGGTCAGTTTCAGCAGCAGCTGACTTGGGTACACATGGGACAGAGAAGCTGGGGTGCTGCTGGGTTGGTCCAGTAGTGCAGAGGAGCGGCACTGTGGGACCAACCCGGCAGCACCCCAGTTGCTCTGCCCCAGGCGTCCCCAAGAGCAGCTGGGGTGCTGCCGGGTTGGTCTCGCCGCGCCAAGGGTCGGTGCTACTGGACCAACCAGGCAGCACTCCAGCTGCTCTGTTGCAGGTGTCCCCGATTTAGCCGCTGCTGAAACTGACCAGCAGCAGCTGAACCAGGGATGCCTGGGGCAGAGCCGGACTATCGGAAGGAGGGGCTATGAGGGGCCTGGGGTGGCATCCCCCTCCAGACTCCTCATAGCCCCCCCTTCCGATAGTCCAGCATATCTGATAATCCGGCACTCCCTGGGTCCTAAAGGTGCTGGATTATCGGAAGTTTACTGTACCTCTACTTTCATTGCCATGAGATGGGGGCCTACCATCCACAGATGGATTTGGGAAGCTCTGGTAAAATGAAGTGGTATTGTCATGACATATTTGGATATTTAATGGTGATTAGGATTCAGTGAGGACTCCTGGACAATCAACCACCTAAACTAAATAGTGAGCCTTCCATATTTATTAACATGAAATATGTTATCAAAAGGATAAAGTCTGATTAGTTCAAGCCCAAAAAAGTTGTTATCCTCCTATGGAGGTTAAAGTTTCAATTAGGGCTATCAATGATAGCAATTAACTCATGCAATTAACTAAAATACTTAATTGGGATTAATCACACTTAAAACAATAGAATAAGAATTGAAATTTATTCCATAATTTTGGCATTATTGTACATTCTGAAAGATATTGATTTCTATTGCAACATAGAATCCAAAGGGCACAGTGCTCACTTCATACTATTTTTTATAAATATTTGTACTGTAAAACTATAAATATTTTTCAATTCACCTGGTACTCTAGTGCAATCTCTTTATCGTGAAAGTGTAACTTACAAATGTAAATTATTTTTGTTACATAACTGCACTAAAAAAAAAAAACAATGTAAAACTATACAGTCTACAAGTCCATTGAGTCCTACTTCTTGTTCAGCCAGTCACTAAAACAAGTAAGTTTGTTTACATTTACAGGCTATAATGCTATATAACCTAAACGTGAGAACAGGCATTCACATGGCATTTTTGTAGTAAATTGCCAGGTATTTATGTGCCAGATACGATAAACATTCTATATTTGTAAATTCAACTTTCATGATAAAGAGCTTATACTCCAGTATTTGTATTAAGTGAACTGAAAAAATACTCTCTTGTTTTTAAGTGCAAATATTTGTAATAAAAAATAAAGTGTGCAAAGTGAGCATTGTGCACTTTATATTCTGTGTTGTAATTGAAATCAATATATTTGAAAATGTAGAAAACATCCAAATGTCTTCTTCTTATATATTTTGAAAATGTCAGTCTGTGAGCCCGTTTGTACAAGAAGTTTTCCTAAATAGTAAGAGCTAGGAACACCAAATTTGGTATGCAGCTTCTTCTTATCATAACTTTAAACAGTCAGGGTTTGGTTGTGCCAGGATAATGGGATATGTGTGGAATGTGATTGTTTCAGATCAGATGGAAATGGAGGGCTGTGATAGCAGGCGCAGTTATACTCAAACAACCATATGGGGGCAGCAAGCACCTCCATGAGCAGTGTACTGCCCTCCACACCCTGGGGAGAAGTAGGCAGGTACCTCCACCCCTCTCCTCTGAGCCCCGTCTCTTCTGAGCCCTCTCCTCCGAATCACCTGCCCAGACTTCTTCACCCTCCACTCCTTGCCCTGAGCCCCTCCTCCTGACTCCTGTACCCCTGACCCCACACTCCCAGCCCCCCACATCCCTATGCCCCTGCACCCCCCACACCACCAGCTACCTAGTATTTAAATAAATGGGTTTCTATTGATGTTTAACAATGCAATTAATCATGCAATTACATTGCAATTCATTTTTGCAAAATCACTTGACAACTCTAATTTCAATGTTCTCATTGGCCATTCCATCTTTGTGCCTTCAGCCTTACCTTCATCAGACAAATCAGAAGATCTGCGTACATGAGGATCATCCATGGCATGGAAGATAGGGGGAGATGTGTAGTCTGCCTCGGTCTCATACTCAAAGGAAGGATTACCTGTTAGACGGAAAAGCAGAAATATTAAGCCACAATGAAATGTTCATAACTGTCTGCAAAAGATTGGGTTTGTTGATACAATAACAAATACAGTGCTACTGTGCATAGCACAACAGACCCTAGAATTATGCTCTTCCCTCATCTATTGTATAGTTAAATTACACCATGCTTAGACTACTGAAAGTCAAATTTAATGAATGATGCTAGCTGCCTAAATTTTCAAGAGTGGCTAGTGATTGTGGGTGCTTCAATTTTTGGAGGCCCAGCACAAGACATCATACAGGTACCTGAGCTTCAGAAACTGCACCAAAAGACAAACAAAACAGTACAACACAACAGACCTTACTCAAGTGTGTTAAGATGGGCACATAGAAAAGAAAGCACAAATTGCTTTTTAAAATGTAGGTAACTAATGTTCAGTTTTTTCTCACCCCCTAGTACAGTAAAACTCCAGTGATCTGGCATCCAATGGTCCAGCACTCCTGATGGTCCGGTACCATCTGGAACCCGGAAGTGCTCCAGGCAGCCGGAGAACTGAAGCTGCTCTGCCCCCGACTTACCCGATTCAGCTGCTGCTGAAACTGACCAGCGGCTGACTAGGGGGAGCCCCGGGCAGAAGAGCT